CACAGTCGAACTAGAGAGAAAATCTCAAAACCTCTAGTCGGCCCTTCTTTTATTTATACTCTTCTAAGATATACAAGGATTACCATTGTGCCCTCACTTAAGTGAGAGCCACATCAGCAGAGCAGTACATATATAACTAAACATAAAAGGACTGTATTACCCTTGTACAGCCGGCTCTAACACTTGCAAAGGTGAACACTTGTGAAATGCTTCACAAGAGGAGGCCACATATTTGCCTTTCCCCTCGTGTGTGTTGTCTTTGTTATGCAAATGGTGAATCCCTTTCTCATTTACTGATTCGTTGTCCTTACATGCTCTTTGTTCGGGAGTCTTTTTGCTCTCTTTTTGGTTGCAGGTGGAGCTCCCCACAAGATGTAGTGAGACTCTTCAACTCAAATTTCCTAAGGCAGTAGACAAAAAAGCGAAGGACAATGTGGAAATCGGTGAGGGCAGCTATGATGTGGACAATTTTGGAGGAAAGAAATGCAAGAATATTCAATGGAAAGTGCAGATCAAAAGAAGAGTTGGTGGAAACCATAAAGATAAAGGTTGCTAATTGGGTAAAAATACTTGAGCTGTTTCATAGCTTCTCAGTGGCTGATATATTGTGGGTTGGAAAGAAGTGGCCTTTTCATCTAAGAAGAAAGAAAAGATGGGGATGGAATGGAAGCCCCCGGCTTCAAATAAGTTAAAGCTGAATTTTGATGGGAGCTCCATAGGGAATCTGGGATTGGTGGGAATAGGGGGTGTGTGACTGTGTTCAGAGATTCAGCAAACAAAGTGCTGGCTATGTATTCAGGGCCCATAGAGGTTGGAAACGCAATAAAGACTGAGCTACTTGCACTTATGCAGGGGTTAAAACTTGTCAAACAAGCAGATTTTAAAAACTTGGAGGTTGAAGGGGACTCAAAACTGGTGATTTCTTGGTCCAACTTCAGAGGTAATGCTCCCTGGATTTATAGACATTCCTTGTGAGAGATTGAAAGTTTAGCAAGGGAGCTCAGGTCCACTTTCACTTGGATCAGAAGGACTGCAAATGGGATGGCTGACTCGCTAGAAAAACAAGGAGTTTACAGACAACATCTTTTCTGTGAAGTTTTGTAAATCTTTTTGTAGCTCTGACTCTGATTTCCTGCTGGATGTAATCAGTTTTTCATTTTTCCTCAAATTAATAAAATTTATCCTTCTTAACTGATAAAAAAATAATGTTTTCTTGAACCATTAAGGCACTGAGTTTTCTTGAAACTACAATAAGGAAACGATTCATATTGGTGAACAGCCCGTCCATGAACAGATATTGAATTCAGCATCACTAGCAGGGGCTTGAAGCAAAGGGGATGACCCCCTAAGGTTTTCTATTATTGGTTATGCACATGTTGATCTTATAGCATAACTAAGTGTTGGACATGATGTTGGAGTTTAACTGACACACTTGGATGGTCTGTAGTTGTCAAGAACATGTGGTGAAGAACATATATGTATTGTTACTCAGAGGATGGTGTAATCAAAAAGGCTAGCAAGAACTTGGAAGAAAGAAGTACTAACTGGAGAACACATTGAACGATCTAGGACTGATCTACAATTGGTTGATAGGGAGCTTTGCAACTTGAAGACCTGGCTTGCAACAAAATTGGTCATTATGGTATTTTATTATTTAGATCATAATCATATTTTTCAATTAGACCATCTTCACCCCCCTTTCAGTCATGTGCATTTTTTATTGATATAAAGAACGTTATTGGAATAAAGAAAGAAAGGCAAACCCTACAACCCCATTGACTGCCAATCAAAAATGGGAAGACTCTTCCCTAATACATGAAAAAGGGACTCCTGTACAAATCCACTAAAGACACACCACTTCTATCAAATTAAAGATCATCAACCATAGAAATGGCCAATTTGGCATCCATTTGAATGAGATATTCAATCTATTTCCCAATGATTGGACCTCTATCAAAAAAAGCTATATAAACACATAAACCTCAAGAATTGCCAGACATCCAATTAACTAGTACCTAGTAGTTGCCATCCACAAGAAGGATTTCATAATCTGGAGATACAAAGATTTTGAGCCCTTGAATGAGTGCTAGGTCCTTAGCTCTGACAACATTTCCCATGCCATCCTCCCTGGAAAGATATCCCCTAGAACCTCTCACGATTCCTGGTTCCAGATTATCAAGGGAACAACCATCAAATTTCTCTTTTCCCATAAGAAAAAACTAATACCTCCGCTACAGTTTATTGTATTGCAACTATTGGTCTTGTATACACCCAACTTGTGTGTCAGACTATACAGAATTCTTTTAGCAAGATACTAACTAGAAAATAGTATGTGTTTATCAAAAAACTACTGTAGTATAAATTTCTGAAATCCTTGTGCACTGCTGCCCTCTATCATAAAGCTCATAAATCATCATAACGAAAGAATAGCCATAAAAGGAACTTTCTAATTTCTTGATTTGTTCCCCCTCGACCCTCGTCAGGCAAAAGAAATTCGTTCAAAAATCATTATAACCATTTAATTCATGATACAATTTTCGGCCCAGAAGAAACAAAACTCTAACCCATTCAACAAAGCATAGAAGAAGCAGCGAACCTTCATGTCTTCCTCCTTACAAATCCCAAATTAACCAAATAATTTATCTAACTTTGAACAGTCTTTCAATAGTTAAGTGGTGAGAGTAGAGAACAGAAGCGTACTTTGAACTTATCAAGCTGCTCTTTCGTGACGCTTGCAGACTGGAAATTAGGTTGCAAAGCCGGCGTTACTGCTATTGCTGCTTCCCTCCTTTCCTCCTCCTCCTCCGCTTCCATCTCTTCTGTTTTCCGGCCCTAACACAGTAACACCTCGTTCACTCGTTGGGTAGTAGAAAATATATAAATCTTTGTTTGTTTCAAATTCGCTTTTTACACCTATGCCCTAGTTGTTCTGGAATTTTTAAATATTACCCTTACAAAATTCCCACCCTTCTTGTAAATATACTAACAATGGAGGTTGCGCGGCGTAAATGTACTAGTTCCTCCCAAATTTGCCCCGATAGCCTGTATCATGCCTCAGACAAAGAATCATGGCGGAGATGGCAACACTGTTCACGCACGAAATATTCTTTAGGCTGCGTTTGGTAGAGGTGTAAAATCGAACCGGGGAAAACTTTGCACCCGGTTCGATTTTGCATACATTTGATAAACATGTAATTACATTTTATCTTTTAATTACATCGATAATTGATGTAATAAATACATCAAAGTTTTTGATGTATTAATTACATCGCTCGTGCTCTCTCTCTCTTCCTCCGACGAGAACAGAGAAGCTAGAGAGGCTATAAGCTTTTTCTCTCTTCCTTCGACAAGAACAGAGAGGCAGCCATCTCTGGAAGCTTTCGCTCTCTCCTCCTTTTCTCTTCCTCCGACGAGAACAGAGAACGAGAACATGACCTGCGACGAGAACGAGAACAGACTGCAATCTCTCGGTTGCAGTGGACTTTTACCTCGGTTTCCTTGTATTCATTGTAGTTCCGTTCACAGCACCATCCACAACCATTGTTTCCGCTCCCCCCCTCCCCTCTCTCTTCCCCTCTCCATCTTCTTCTGTTCAGCAGCTTGTTGGCTTCTCTGTTCTCTCTCCCTTCCTTCTTCTTCTTCTTCCTTGTCATCCTCGTACATTCTAACCGTTACACCAGGTGAGTGCAAAAGATAATTGGTGCAAGTTTAAAGTATCCGAAACACAAGTTGTATGGAAGGATAATTTTGAGAGACGTATCGAGATACACTTTGAAAATGTATAGATATAGATGAAAAATCAAGATACACATGTATATACTAGAAAATCCAAAAAAAAATCCTTAAGAATATGAACAATAATAAAAATGAGTTTTATGTGAGTATAACTAATTTATTTAAACATAAAAACCATTCTTTAGTGATTTATATAAAGTATCCGGATATAATTAGTAACCATTGGAAATAATAGAAGAACCAAAATGTTTGTATATATATTAATATTTATTAGTTAATACTTTTTTTGAAACAATTTATTAGTTAATATTTATTATATATAGAATTAGATAATATTTATTATGTTTACAAATTAATATATACCTTAACTTTTAATAAATCAATATAACTTGTATTCATCTTATTATTATATAAATATTAATAATCAAATTTATAGCATTTGTTGGGAAACATTCACCAAGGCAAGATAGATTACTTTAAGTATAAAAAAACATGTCTTTTTAATAAGTAATTAATGTTGACATAATTGTTAATTAATTATTGTTATAAGCAAATGATTTGGGTTCGAAACTTGTTACATTTGGTTTGTGATTTTTAACAAGTTATTTCACTTAAATAACATTTAATGACATTATTAAATGATGTAATCAAAGGTAACTTAAATGAGCATTTAATTAAATTATATTAGCATTTAGTGACGTCCCAAACTTTAAGACTTAATTAAAATTGATATTAATGAGAGAGAAGAGATAATTTAAATTTAAATTTGATATTAATGAGAGAGAGAGATGAGTAAATTAAATTTAAATTTAAAAAGAAGAAGGAAATTAAATTTGACTGATACGTAATGCGTATCGGTCCGTATTAGCTTTGTATCGGGCCGTTTCGGGTATGTAATTAGACATGTTCCGTGTATCAGAACTCTTCCAAAATGATACGTATCGGCTGATACGAAATTTAAAACCTTGAATTGGTGGTCTTCCAAACAAACATCAGTGTAAAACTTTTACATGACCGGTTCGTCTTTTATACTTATCTGATGGGCCATTTTTCAAATACATCAGTGTAATTTTGTATTTACACCTCTACCAAATACAGCCTTAAGGAAAATTCCCGATCAGTACCCTGTGCATGGGCTCAAGTGATAATTTAATCCCCGAACTTTAAAATGCGACAATTCAGTATCTGAATCTTCAAAGTGTAATGATCCAGTACCAAAATTTTCAAAATTTGACAATCTAGTATCTACCATTAACTAGTCTGTTAATTAGCCGTTAAGTGACATTTGAAAAGTAAAAAATGCCTTTTGAATTCCATCTAATTCTCTTTATCAACCATCCAAACGACGACAACAAATTAAACAGTTCCAAATCCTATCCTCTTCTATTCAAAAAAGTTGGTGACTTTTTAGAAGAATCTAAAATTTGAAATTGTTCATTTTATTGTCAATGGTTGAATGATTGATAAAGATGAAAATTTCAAATGCTCTGAAACTATTGTTTATGAGAGTTATGATGGGAATGTCAAAAAATTATTTGCAGCTTATGGTCTACAGCCAATATAAATTGGTTAGGATTTAATCTGCATATCAATCCACTGAATTGGAGATGCATTTTTTGATGGTTTGTAAATTCATGTGGTGAAAAATGGTTTTTACAGCTTAAAGACTATTTTGGTGGGTCAGTTGGTGGGACTGACATCACCTCAACAATCTCTATTAAGCGTTTGGTTGAGAATTTGGAGAATTCAGGTAATCATGTGATGCCTGCAGTAGTTGAAGAGGTTGTATCTCCTGCTAGCGCCAGAGTTTTGTAGGAGTTTGGTTGATTGTAAGAAGAGTTGGATTGGCAAAGAAAAGAGGGTTGTTGATCCAATGTGGGAGCATATGAGAAGAAGTGGGGCTAAATCACTAATGTTCGATTGGAATTCAGGTAATCACTTGTGCAGGTTATTTCTTGTGAAGTTACAATCACATCTGGTCGATCTTATCATAGTTTGAAATTTAATATCACATATGGGCAAGAAGATAAACATAAAATAAATTAAAGAACATGTTTTTTTTTTGAAGAGACCCCAAATAAAGAGCAAAATTGATCTTCCAAAACTTGAGAGAGAATCAGGCAAGAGTCAAATAGAGGACTGAATTTTCTAATGAGTACGTAGTTTAACAAAGGGATGATGTAAATGAGTAAAAAGACTTCTATTTTGTTGATTACCGGTAGATCAAAGAGCTTTATATGACCAAATATACTGAATTTGCCTAGGTATTGACTAGTCACCGACAACTGTTTAAATTTTGATATAATGGTGCAATATACAAGTTAATAAAGACTAAATGTGCAATAAAAGATATGATATGGACATATAGTATATAGTTTTTGTTTTACAAAAATTACAAAAAAAAAAAGGAAAGTTGGATAGGAGGAGCTAGGGAGAAATAACATTTTCTGTTAACATAGAATTAAGTACTGAAGAGGGGTTTTCAATAAAATTATTAATCATCACCATCGTCATTATCATTTAAGCCTTGTCCAAACTAGATGTGATCAGCTACATGAATCTTGTTCTGGTATTCCATTATATTTAATGCCATGCCATATCTATCGATAAATTATAGGCCCTTAAATCATTTTACACTTTCAACCTCTGTCCTTTTTAGTCTGTCCCTAGCTCTTTTACCCCCTTAAACTTGTAACAGATCACTTATTTTCACTGGTGCCCTAGATGGTCTTCGTTGAGCATGCCCAAACAATGTTAATATATTTTCCCTCATTTTATCTCCTACGTTTGAATAAATACTCTTAAGTAATGTTTTCAAACACCAAATACTATAATCATTTAAGAATACTTTGACTAAATTAGAATTTCAGAATGATGCTCCTAATATCTGTTCTACCCACTAGGCCATGGTCCAAATGGTCCAATCCATGTCTGATTATGAGCGGGTCTAAACTTTATATATATATATATATGTGCTCCTAAGACTGAATTACTAAAAAACCCTAATTGAAGCATCTAATCTCTTCGATTCTTAGAGCGGTGGACAAGCAGAAAGTGAAAACCTCACGCTATTATCTTATGGAAATTTAAATCTCAGTTGCCATATTTTTATTTTAGGTAATTTGTATGCTAGATTTGTTCTCTCCGTTTGGTAGAGCACTTCCTTTGTTTTTATTTAGTGTTTTTTTAGATTCCTATCTATAAGTTTTATAATAGAAAGCAAGAACAGAAAAGGTAAGGAATGAAAAATGAAAAGTGCTATATTTTCTATCATGAAATGAAATCTTATGGATCATTTGATCCATCCTTCTAGTAAATAAATGGTTTATGATTTTGTATTTCTTCATCTTCATTCTTTAGTTATTCAATTTCTTTAATATCATCCTTCCCCTATCCTAATTAATATTTGTACTTGCAGCCAATCTATTGTTGGGTGTGGGTCCAGCCCATAAGAGGGGCCCACCCCATCTTTTCATGCTCCCAAAAAGGAGCTCTATCGTGTAAGCCAAAAAGGCTTCCACCTTTTTGATTTAGCTAACATTCGTAACCACCCAAGTAAAGAAGAGAGAAGAAAAGCAGAGGGAATCGAGGGTTTTTCTAGGTTGAGTTTTGTGAAGAAGAGAAGAAAGATCCAGTTTCTATTCCATTCAAGGTCAAGTTTGGATATGTTTTCAAGCCTGTTTTTGATGTGATTAAGTGCTGTTCAAGGAGTCAAGAATCTTATTCCATTTCAGATTGGTTATCTCTTCTTTTCTTCTCAGTTTCATATTTACAGCAACTTACATTTGGTGATGTTAATGCTGTACTTGTGAGCCAAGGATTATTTTTTGATATCTGTAAGCCTTTATTTGCTACTAGAGAGGACTGTTGTACTCATTAATTTCTGAATTAGTGAAAGACTTTTACAAACCATTTAGTTCCTATGGTTTTCCCCCAATTTTGGGGTTTTTCACATAAAAATTCTGGTTTGCTATTGTGTGGTAGTTGCTATTTATATTTTCTGTTATTTGGCTGAATTGTTTATCTATTGTCATTGTTGTTGACAAATTCACTTTAACACACAAACTTAGGGGAAATTTTCCTTTTGCCCCGGGATTGCTTTTCATATTCATTTCTACTACTGTA